TAACATCAGCAAAGTAGCGAGTTGCGCTAGCTGGTGCTACACAGAATCCATCTACGCGGCAAGACATGGCAGCCGTATCTTAGACGGCGATCGAAAATAGCGCCGGAAGGGTGTTATTGTCAGCGTTGTTTTACTGAGAGTGGTCTTGGGTTAGACAGACGACATTGGAGCTATGCTGGACCGAAATCGGGGCCCGATTAGGTCAGAGCACGCGTTAACCCGACTGCGCAGACTTCGCGGAAAGGCATGGTGATACGCCTAGACGCAAGCTTCACACCGTGCTAGTTGTTTGTACCCAAACGCAACAGCACATGACTGTTTAACGCGAACACCTTCGCGCATTATTTACTGCACAAAAACTGACTCGCTTACAGCTATCAAGTTACGTCAAGAAGACTTGGTTTGGAAGGCTAACTCGGTCCTCTCCGGACGCAGAGTCAGGCTGCTACAAGGGCTCCTTCCGAGTTTGGCCCCTTGGTTCGGTGAACGAATCTACTCCATCATGTGCGGAACAGGCGTCCGCAGGCGTCGGGTTGTCCTGGCTTTGTCTTGTCATGGGGCCCAGGTGGATAATAAGGAGGGTGCAGTAGATGCTACGCAAGCCGACAGCGGTTCCAGACTAGGCTTGTAGGTGCTGTAATCACCACGACAAAAAACCTATACCCACGACTTACTTGTACGGAAAGACGAACAGGTGTAACCAGTTCCCACATAAATGTACTGGCCCGATGAGAATTTATCGAAAGCCTACGTACGCTTATAAACTACTTCTCTGAATTCTCTGATGGGAATATTTGCAACTTAAAAGAGTAGTATTTTTAGTTGACCTTGTAGGAGGTTCGTTTGCGCACACAAGGCTGGCTTTGTCAACCTGATTGCAGTCGCTTCTGCGATTACAAGCATGCGCTGACCCAGCGACTTATGCGACTGATATGACCTGCTCCACAGGAGCAAGTAAATGAGTAGACGCAAATGGAGGTAGTCTGAGCTAGCAACCTTTCCTCACCTTCCCCATGTAGGACCGGGTTGGTTGAGAATAATACCCAAACTCTCGCTGCTGGGAAGGTTCGTGACACGGCTTAGGAGTTCTCTTGCCGCATCCCCTTGAAAGAGGACTTTTAGGGACAGCGTCTACGTTTCCACACTGGGTGTTGCGGTCACACGAGTCGACACTTATCCGAAAGCATACGGGGAGTAAAGGTGAGGTCAGAAACACAAAGAGCGCTACATTTTTGATTCCGGACATCATGTGGGCCCCCCAATGAAGTCTTCCGGGTGATTTATAAGGTTCCACCCAACTATTCCAAGTCCCTGGGTCAAGGCCTACTAGCAACAGCTGAAGCGACCGCTGTTAAGCTGTGGAAGCCGACGTCGTGCGCACAGAGGAATCTCCTGCAAGCTCCGCGTCTGGCGTGTTCCACAGTCACTTAGCTGCATGCAGTCGTCTGTCTTCTCTCTGTCTTTGCCAAGTGCTCTCCGCCGCGTTATTGGCCTTCCCTTGTCAACCCCTTCCCCCCTATTCCCTCGACCCTGAGAATTTATCGAAAGCCTACGTACGCTTATCAACTACTCCTCTGAATTCTCTGATGGGAATATTTGCAACTTTAAAAAACAAAGCGTTGGCCTTCCGACAGAGTGCTTATCCTCTAGCTTTCTTACTTCCCATGAAAATTAATGGCCGAACGTGGATTAAATTGCTTTGGAACAACACGCATGTACACAAATAGGGAGTTCAAAGGTACGCACCTCAAATTTCCCTCAAATAAACTGAACTGAGCCTCCCAGACGCTCTCCCTTTTTGGATTAGGTGAAACAGCCGTCAACATCACCCCAACTTTCCTCTCCCTCAATTATGCCGGCTTTATGCATGCTCTAATGCGCAATCTGACTTCAATTTGTCCAGTCTTGGCCGAAATAGCAATGTTACAAAGAAATCTTTTTGGTCCCCGTGGGCCCAGGCGCACAATTGCTTTGTTTAAACACGCTGGTGGGGGCGCTTGCGGCGATGGTGCGGCTAGCAGCACAGAATGCGACACTGTTTTGCCTAGCTTGAGGCCAATGGGGCGGGGGTGA